GGGAGAGTATGTGTCCTGCAGTTTATCCATTTTTTTTCTAGATTTTCTAGTTTATTTGCATAGAGGTGTTTAAGGTATTCTCTGATGGTTGTTTGTATTTCTGTGGGGATAGTGGTAGTATCCCCCTTACCATTTCTGACTGTGTTTATGTGAATCTTCTGTCTTTTCTTCTTTAATAGTCTAGCTAGTGGTCTGTCTATTTTATTGATTTTGTTTTTCAAAAAAGCAGCTCCTAGATTCATTGCTTTTTTTTGAAGGGTTTCTCATGTCTCTATCTCCTTCAGTTCTGCTCTGAGCTTGGCTGTTTCTTGTGTTCTGCTAGCTCTGGGGTTTGCTTGCTCTTGTTTCTCTAGCTCTTTTTAGTTTTGATGTTATGGTGTTTCTAGCTTTTTCATGTGAGCATTTAGTGCTATAAATTTCCTTTTTAATACTGCTTTAGCTGCATTCCAGGGATTCTGATACATTGTCTCTTTTTCTCATTAGTTTCAAAGAACTTGATTTCTGCCTTAATTTCATAATTTACCCAGAAGTCATTCAGGAGCGGGTTGTTCAATTTCCATGTAGTTGTGTGGGTTTGGGTGGGTTTCTTAATATTGAGTTCTAATTTGATTATGCTGTGGTCTAAGAGACTGTTATGATTTCAGTTCTTTTGCATTTGTTGAAGAGTGTGTAACACACTCTTCCAATTATGTGATCAATTTTAGAGTAAGTGCCATATGGCACTGAGAAGAATGTATATTCTATTGTTTTGGGCTATAGAGTTCTGTAGATATCTATCAAGTGTACTTGATCCAGAGCTGAGTTCAAGTCCTGAATATCTTTGTTAATTTCATATCTTGATCTGTCTAATATTGACACTGTGGTATTAAACTTTCCTGCTATTATTGTGTAGGGGTCTAAGTCTCTTTGCAGGTCTTTAAGAACTTGTTTTATGAATCTGACTGCTCCTGTGTTGGGTTCATATATATTTAGGATACATAGCTTTTCTTGTTGAATTGAAACCTTTACCATGTAATGCCCTTCTTTGTCTTTTTTTTAACTTTGTTGGTTTAAAGTCACTTTTGTCAGAAACTAAGGTTGCAACTCCTGCTTTTTTCTGCTTTTCATTTGCTTGGTAAATTTTCCTCCATCCCTTTATTATGATCCTATTTGTGTCTTTGCATGTGAGAGGTGTCTCTTGAATACAGCACACCGATGGGTCTTGTCTGTTTATCCAGCTTGCCATTCTGTGTCTTTTAATTGGAGCATTTAGAACATTTACATTTAAGATTAATATTGCTATGTGTGAATTTGGTCTTGTCATGATGCTGGCTGGTTAATTTTGCAGACTTGTTAATGTAGTTGCTTCATAGTGTCATCGGTCTACGTACTTCAGAGTGTTTTTGCAGTGGCTGTTAATGGTTTTTCCTTTTCATATTTAGTGCTTCCATCGGGAGCTCTTGCAAGGCAGGCCTTCTGGTAATGAAATGGATTTTATTTCTCCTTTGCTTATAAAGCTTAGTTTGGTCAGATATGAAATTCTGAGTTGGAACTTCTTTAAGAACATTTTATATTGACCCCCAATTTCTTTTGGCTTATAGGGTTTCCACTGAGAGGTCTGCTGTTAGTCTGATGGGCTTCCCTTTGTAGGTGATCTGGCCTTTCTCTCTGACTGCCCTTAACATGGTTTTCCTTTATTTCAATGTTGGAGAAGCTGACAATTACGAGTCTTGGGGTTGATTTTCTCATGGAGTATCTTATTGGGGTTCTCTGGATTTCTTGAATTTGAATGTTAGCCTGACTTGCTAGGTTGGGAAGTTCTCCTGGATGATATCCTCAAGTGTGTTTTCCAAATTGGTTCCATTCTTCCCATATCTTTCAGGTACTCCAATCAGTCATAGGCTGGGTCTTTTTCCATAGTCCCACAGTTCTCAGAAGTTTCGTTTGTTCCTTTTCACTCTTTCTTCTCTAGTCTTGTCTGCCTGCCTTATTTCAACAAGATATTCTTCAAGCTCTGATATTCTTTCTTCCACTGGTCAATTTGGCTGTTGATTCTTGTGTTTGCATCATGAAGGTCTTGTGCTGTGTTTTTTAGCTCCATCAGGTCATTTATTTTTCTCTCTAAGTTAGTTATTCTAGTTAAAAGATCTTGTAATCTTTTATCATGATTCTTAGCTTCTTTTTATTGGGTTGGAACATAATCCTTTAGCTCAGTGAAGTTAATTATTACCCACTTTCTGAAGCCTACTTCTGCTAGTTTATCCATCTCAGATTGAGCCCAGTTCTGTGCCCTTGCTGGAGGTGTTGCAATCATTTGGAGAAGACATTCTGCTTTGTGGAACTTTCAGCATTTTTGCATTGGTTTTTCCCTCATCTTCTTGTATTTATCTGCCTTTAATCTTTGAGGCTGTTGACCTTTGGATGGTGTTCTTGTGGGGTCTTTTTTTTATGTTGTTTCTTTTTGTTTGTTTTTCTTTTAACAGTCAGGCCCCGCTTCTGTAAGTCTGCTGTAGTTTCTGGAGGTTCACTTCAGACCCTGTTTGCATGGGTATCAACCGTGGAGGCTGCAGAACAGCAAAGATTGCTTCCTGTGCCTTCCTCTGGAAGTTTTGCCCCAGAGGGGCATGGACAAAATGCCAGCAGTTACTCTCCTATATGAGATGTGTGGCAACCTCTGTTGGGAGGTCTCATGTGATCAGGAAGCATGGAATAAGGGACCTGCTTAAGGAAGCAGTCTGGCCGTCCCTTAGCAGAGCAGGTACACTGCACTGGGGCAGGGCGAGGGAGTCTTCCAACTGCTTACTAGAGTCTCAGTAATGGTGGTGGCCCCTCCCCCCAGGAACTTGGTCATCTTAGGCAGACTCCAGGCTGCTGTGCTGGCCACGGGGGATTACAAGCCAGTAGGTCATAGCTTGTAGGATTCCATGGGAGTGGGACCTGTTGAGCAAGGCATTTGGATCCCTGGCTTCAGTCCCCTTCCCACAGTAGTGAACAGATCTCTTGCTTCACTAGAGTTCCAGGAGCTGCCAGAGTATGCAAACACTCCTGCAGTTCAGTGCTTGTCTGAGTGGCTGCCATGGGTTTGCAGAGCTTTGTGCTTGGAACCGAAGGCCCTGATGGTATGGGCTTATGAGGTAATCTCCTGATCTGTGGGTTGTAAAAATCCATGGGAAAAGTGTAGTTCCCCAGACGGGTAGCACAATCCCGCACCCATCTCCCTTGACTAGGGGAGGGGTTGTCCCTTTGCCCTGTGCAACTCCTCCTGGGTGAACCATTGCCTCACTCTTCTTTTCCTAGCTTTCTGTCGGTTGCATGAACCGCCTGGTCAATCCCACCAAGAGAATCTGGGTACCTCAGTTGGAAATGCAGAATTCAGTCACCATTTATGTCCATCTCTGTGGTAGCTGCAGACTGGAGCTGTTTCTACTTGGCTATCTTGGCCTCTCCCCACCTCCACTTCTATTTGTTGGGAGATTTTGTGAAGCACTAGTTTTAATTCTTTTTTACATGTTTGATAGAATTCAGAAGTGGAGACTGGTGGAGCTTGGACTTCATTTGCGGGTAGTTTTTGGTTACTAATCCAATCTCTTTACTTGTTATAGGTCTATTCCTTTTGAGCACATTCAGAGTCAAGTCAAATAACCAGCATTTCAGGAAAAGTTAAAAAAAAAAAAAAAAGAAATTCTCTGAAGATGGGCTTTTGAGGAGCTCCAAACCATCTGTTTCCTATGGATTCTGCTAGGCTGTTGGCTTTCATATATACTGTGGACTGGGAAGAGGGAAATTGAAATAGAACAAGTTAAAATGCCACAAAGCTATAATTCTGAGATTCTACCACTTTTTTCTTTAATAAATGCTCCTTGAATTGTTGCAAAACTTAGGATAATATTCAGAGTCTTAAAAAATGTTGAATTTGATAATTTCTGTCATTTTCTTATTGTTTTATGAAAAAGTGGATTTTTTGGTCATCCTTACTTTGCATATTAGAAGTGACTATTGAATACATAATCACCAAGGGAAGTAAGGAGCATATAGTATTTATTTTATACACTTTAGATACAATTTATATACTCAACTAAAATAATCTTCAATAGCAATACAACAGAAAAGTAATCATGTTATTGAATGCTATATTCTATTCATTATTTTTGGAAACATTTTATTTCTATGAGATATTTATTGTATAATTTAACAGGTTGAAAAATAGTAATTCAGTAAGACTTTTTGTAAAAATTGTCAATAAAAAACATATCTAAATACATTTACAGAAGTTACTCTTGTGTTAAGATTATGAATCTTTGACCATCACCATAGTGGCTTTTTTTTTTTATACAGAGACTTTTTCTGTCATCAAGGCTGGAGTGCAGCAGCATGATCACAGCATGATCACAGGTCACTGCAGCCTCCACCTCCTGGGCTCAAGTGATCCTCCCATCTCAGCCTCCTGAGTAGCTTGGAACCACTCAACCCAGTTGATTGCTTTTTAATTTTTAGTAGAGAGGAGGTCTTTCTATGTTGCCCAGGTTGGTCTCCTGAGCTCAAGTGATCCTCCTGCTACTTCCTTAGCCTCCCAAAGTGGTGGGATTACAGGTGTGAGACACCATGGTGGACCAACATAGTGTTTTTGATGTCTTCACAATAAGCATGTGTTCAGAAAACACAAATCTCCAATTGGTTCAGTATTTTCAAACATTTGGGATATAGTACTGTGATAATGTTTAAGGGCCAAATCTCAGGGAAAAAAAACTTTAGAATCGTAATCTTGTTTCTAGTCTGGGAATTCAAGGTTACAATCTTATTTTATTTCCACAAATGATAACTGATTGCACTGATGATCAAAAGCTTTGGATGGTGTTTTCTTAATTTTTCTGGAGACTCAGTTTTTTTTTCCAGCTCTATGTAGAGAGACCTTGTTGTAGTATAAAGAGCTTACATCTTGACTCAATCTGTTCATTGTTCAGATGTCTTTAAAACACCTGTGTGACATGACATCAACTTACAAAGTCTTTTTGTCCCACTAGGTTTTCTCATATGGAACAGTTTTTTATTCAACACTCTACTGTAATATAATGCAGAAAGGAGTCACTGGCAAAGTTCCTTTGATGTGCATTGTATACAGGTGAGTATAATGAACAAGATGTTTCACAGTTTATCCTCTAAGAACTAATTAAAAGGAAAACATTTTGAATATGAAGCTTTATATCATTAGAACTCTAGAGTGATGTTGGTTTGCATAGTTTCTCTGTGCAATGAGGTATTTATCTATGCCATTTGGCTATTACAGATGCTCTGGCCAAATCCCCTGGAACCCGCCCCCCTCCCCACTTCTGTTTGCCTCTCTCCCTGCTTGTGTGTGATCTGGCTTTCAGTGATATGAATTGGGCTTGGACACTTAGAAAATGCTTCCCACTCTCATGATTGAGTGATTTGAGACTGAAAAGCCAGCTCTGTTTCTCAAGTCAGGGATAAACGTGGAGGCAGGATTTAACTTTTCAACCTTAAAGAGTTGAAAACTAATTCAACTACTATTCCTGTTTCTCCAAGCATCCTCTGATCTGCGGGAAGGCAGCTAGGTGAGAAGGTGTGCTCACTTGAGGGTCCTGCTGGGGCAAGGACTCTGCCTTAAAAAGTCTTGTTGTCTTTACCTTCTATGTCCTGCTTTTCTCCCATTCCCTTTCTGGGGACACTTATATAATAAATCACCTGCATGTAAGTGTCCTTGCCAAGTCCTGCTTTTGGGAAATCCAAGTAAGACATAGTAAAATGAATTAAACAGAGCTCAGGTGATTGTGTCCATGATCATGTAGCTAGGGAGTGCCAAGTTAGGACTTGAGCACACCTTCTCAGCTACCTGCCTCCCCACAGATCAAAGGATGCTTGGAGAAACAGGAATAGTAGCCAAATTAGTTTTCAACTCTTTAAGGTCAAATTAAAAAAAAAAATCTTAGCCTAAATTGTTCTTTATTCTACATAATTCTTTTTTTGATCGGATTGGCCTTTACTGGACACTGCACAGAGCAACAGCAGAATGTATAATATTTTCAAGCATATGTGGAATTTTTACCAAGATGGACCATTAATATTTTACATAATTCTTAATTTCCCCCCCAATTTTGATAGCTTGTATAAATCAAAAGGCTTGAATGGGCATAATTGTATTAAAATATTTTTTTAAAAAGCAATAATTTAGATATTTTCTTAATATACTATGGCCCTATGGCTTTTGGGGAAATCCCCAAAACTTCGCTATATCTTCAGGATCAAAGGACAAATGCTGTTAACCTTTTAATAGTTTATGAATGACAACTTTTAAAAGATCCAGGATTCTCAGTTTATACTTGTAATAAATTGTCTTGGGGATTTAATTAAGCTTATCAGAACTAATGTTTTCTGTTTGGAATATATTTTCCAATGGTAGGACTTTTATTTTTTTTGACTAACACCCCTAACTGGAGGTGTGTTAATCCAAAAAACAAAAAAACAAAGTCAAGTAGAGGGCAGACAGGTAGCAGTGGTAGTAAATCTCCTGCTAAAGTAGAAAGAATAAAAATGAATTGAGACAAAATGAGTCTTACTGGTTTGTTTATTTTTTAATGTAATCTGATGTAAAAATTGTGTTTTCTTTAAAACTTTCAGCTCATCTTTGGATACCACTCCAAGCACTGTCCATAACAATCTTATAAAATTCCAAAATGATCCTCCCTGTACCAATTCTCATTCTGCCTGGAACTTAACCAACACTTGTCTATTTGGATTGCCTCGGATTCCATATTTTCAAGACTCCTTGGTGAGGATTCTTACAATAGACAAAACATGGCAGTGTCCACAAAGAAACGATCATATTGTTATAAGGAAGAAAAAAGCTCAAATCTCTACTAAGGTGTGTTTTTGTTGTTTAAATAGTGTCGAACTATGTGATGGGTCTCACATTACATTTCAATCTTGTTTAGAATGAATACTACTTCCATGTGTCTGCATATATCCTGTCTTGTCAGTAAGTCTCCCTTTACTCTGGTTATGACAAAAAAAGAAAAAAAAGAAAATCTCTAGTATAGTTCAAACATAATCTGAGTTGATAAACCATTCACTTTAAATAGTGCTCAGACACTTGAATAAAATTTTTCAGCTCTTTCAACCCTTCCCTCTAATCCCTGGCACATAGTAGGTCCTCCATGTTCACCGGTCAGTATATTAGTCAATGTGTTTTCTGTGCTAAGCTTATCAATTAAGTTTATTAATAAAAGTTAATAAACTTTTTATTAACTGCTTTTATTTTTTCTCTGCAGGTAGAGGCATCTCATCACTCACTTCTACTTAGTATGTCTCATCCGTTAGTCCATGAGAGTGCAAATGTAGCTATATTCTAGGTTCTTCCATCGCAATCCTGATAACTCTGTTGCTATAGCTTCCTTAAAATTTCATTTTTGAACCACTCACTACAGAATTCATCGCTTTTTGGTGCCACTTCCTGAGAGGACATTGGGTTGGGTAGTGCCCATTGCTTCATATGTTTTTTAAAAGTGTTCCTTTTAAACAAAGGCCATGATGCCCTTGCATAGTCTCTTATAATAAGATGTCTATGTATAATTTTTAGATGTGGAGTTGATCTTACAAATAAAATGTGTTGTGCCTTTGGCTGCACTTCTTGATGACTGGGTTATAATCTCAAAACAGAACTTAGGCTGGAATGTAGGCATGGAAGGGTCTCTGTCCTCCACCTGCTGTTAGTGTACAAGCCATGTTTTAAATACAGTAGACTGAGAATAATGCTACATGGTTGTTAGTTTAATTCCTTTAAGAAAGATTTAGTATCCATGATGGAAATGAACACATTGGATCAACCAGGAAATAGAGTAGAAAGTTTGACCTCTTGTAGATGTATGGCTTTGGGAAACAGCAATACAAGAATATTTCTATATCTTTATTCAAGATCAATAGGGTGAGACTAGTTGTCATTTTTGGCACTCTAGGAACTAAACCTTTAGTGATCCCTTAGGGCCATCCTTCTTTATTTCAACGACCACCCTCCAGTCATTGTATGATTTCAGAATGATGTTATTACTAACTGGAGGGTGGTCTTTGAAATAAAGGGGTCCAGATCTGTTGGGGGAGGGGGTTCTACCATTACTGAGGCAATCCACAGCTACCAAGGCAGTCTGCCATTACTGAGGCAATCCACCATTACAAAGACAGTCTGCCATTATAGAGGCAATTCTAACTATACCTTTATAAACAGAACCACAAGGAAGTTCACATAGCAGCTGGGCAGAGCCCATGGCAGCTCAGCAATGCCTCTGCTGGCAGACAGTGACTAGGCTACCTTCTTGCAGGACAGGGCATCTCTGAAAAAAGGCAGCAGCACACCAGGAACTTATAAATAAAGCCCCACCTTCCCAAGACAGAGCACCTGGGGAAAAATGGTGGTTATGAGTTCTGTTGCAGCAGACTTAAACGTACCTGACCAGCATCTCTGAATGGAACAACAGAGCTCACAGCTCAGCACTTGAGCTCCTATAAGGGACGACTGTCTCCTCAAGCAGCCCTCTGACCCCCATATATCTAAAGAGATACCTCATAAAGGAGAGCTCAGGCTGACATCTGGCGGGCATCCTTCTGGGACAAAGATAACAGAAGAAGAAACTGGCAGCATCCCTTACTGTGCTGCAGCCACTGCAGGTGATCCCCAGGCAAACAGGGTCTAGAGTGGACTGCTAGCAGTCCTACAGCAGAGGGACCTGACTGTTAGAAGGAAAACTAAGAAACAGAAAGAAATAACTTCATCATCAACAAAAAGGATGTTAACTCAGAGACCCCATCTGAAAGTCACCAACTACAAAGACCACAGGTAGATAAATCCATAAAGATGGGAAGAAACCAGTGCAAAAATGATGAAAATACCCAAAACTAGAACACCTCTCCTTCTCCAAGGGATCACAACTCCTCACCAGCAAGGGAACAAGGTGGATGGAGAATGAGTCTGATGAATTGACAGAAACAGGATTCAGAAGGTGGGTAATAACAAACTTTTCTGAGCTAAAAGAACATGTTCTAATCCAATGCAAAGAAACTAGGAACCTTGAAGAAAGGTTTGATGAATTGCTAATGAGAATAAACAGCTTAGGGAAGAATATAAATGAATTGATGGAGTTGAAAAACACAACACGAGAACTTCACAAAGCATACACAAGTTTCAGTAGCCAAATTGGCCAAACAGAAGAAAGGATATCAGAGATTGGAGATCAACTCAATGAAATAAAATGAAAAGGCAAGACCAGAGAAAAAAAAGAGTAAAAAGAAATGAACAAAGCCTTCAAGAAATATAGGATTATGTGAAAAGACCTAATCTACATTTGATAGGTGTACCTGAATGTGTTGGAGAGAATGAATCCAAGCTGGAAAACACTCTTCAGGATATTATCCAGGAGAACTTCCCCAACCTAGCAAGGCAGGCCAATATTCAAGTCCGGAAAATATGGACAACACCATGAAGATTTTCTCCAAGAAGACCAACCCCAAGGCACATAATTGTCAGATTCACCAGAATTGAAATGAAGGAAAAAATGCTAAGGGAAACTAGAAAGAAAGGCCAGGTTACCCACAAAGGGAAGCCCATCAGACTCACAGTAGATCTCTCAGCAGAAACCCTACAAGCCAGAAGAGAGTGGGGGCCAATATTCAACATCCTTAAAGAAAAGAATTTTCAACCTAGACTTTCACATCCAGCCAAACTAAGCTTCATAAGTGAAGGAGAAATAAAGTCCTTTATGAACAAGCAATTGCTCAGAGATTTTGTCACCTCCAGGCCTGCCTTGCAAGAGCTCCTGAAAGAAGCACTAAACATAGAAAGGAACAATCAGTACCAGCCACTCCAGAAACATACCAAATGGTAAAGAGCATTGACAAGTGAAGAAACTGCCTCAACTAATGGGCAAAACAACCAGCTATCATCAAAATGGCAGGATCAAATTCACACATAATAATATTAATCTTAAATGTAAATTTGCTAAATGCCCCAATCAAAAGACACAGACTGTCAAATTGGATAAAAAGTCAAAACCCATCAGTGTCCTGTATCCAGGAAACCCATTTCATGTGCAAGGAAACACATAGGCTCAAAATAAAGGGATAGAGGAAGATTTACCAAGCAAATGGAGAGCCAAAAAAAAAAAAAAAAAGAAAAAAAGAAAAAAAACCCAGCAGGAGTTGCAATCCTAGTCTCTGAAAAAATAGGCTTTAAACCAACAAAGATCAAAAGAGACAAAGAAGGGCATTGCATAATGGTAAAAGGATCAATGCAGCAAGAAGAGCTAACAATCCTAAATATATGCACCCAATACAGGAGCACCCAATACATAAATCAAGTTCTTAACAACCTACAAAGAGAGTTAGACTTCCATACAATAATAATGGGAGACTTTAACACTCCACTGTCAGTATTAGATCAACAAGACAGAAAATTAAGGATATCCAGGATTTGAACTCAGATCTGGACCAAGCAAACCTAATAGAGATTTATAGAACTCTCCACTCCAAATCCAGAGAATATACATTTTTCTCAGCACCATGTCACAGCTACTCTAAAAATGACCACATAATGGAAGTAAATCACTCCTCAGCAAATGCAAAAGAACAGAAATCATAATAAACAGTCTCTCAGACCATAGTGCAATCAAATTAGAACTCAGGATTAAAAACCTAACTCAGAACCACATAACTTCATGGAAACTGAACAACTGGCTCTTGAATGTTGACTAGATAAACAGTGAAATGAAGGCAGAAATAAAGATGTTCTTCAAAACCAATAAGAATGAAGATGCAACATAATGGAATCTCTGGGACATATTTAAAGCAGTGTTTGGAGGAAAAAAATTTTTTTAATTGTACTTTAGGTTCTCAGATACATGTGCAGATCATGTAGGATTGTTCCATAGGTATGCACATGGCAATGTGGTTTGCCGCCTCCATCACCCTGTCACCTACATTTGGCATTTCTCCCCATGTTATCCCTCCCTGACCTCCCCATTCCCCCCACTGTCGCTCCCTTGCCCCCCCAACAGACCCCACTGTGTGATGCTCCCCTCCCTGTGTCCATGTGTTCTCATTGTTCAACACCGACCTATGAGTGAGAACATGTGATGTTTGATTTTTTATTCTGTGTGAGTTTGCTGAGAATTGTGGTTTCCAGATTCATCCATGTCCCTTCAAAGGACAAAAACTCATCATTTTTTATGGCTGCACAGTATTCCATGGTGTATATGTGCCACATTTTCCTTGTCCAGTCTATCATAGATGGGCAATTGGGTTGGTTCCAGGTATTTGCTATTGTAAACAGTGCTGCAGTGAACATATCTGTGTGTGTGTCTTTATAATAGAATGATTTATAATCTTTGGGTATATACCCAGTAATGGGATTGCTGGGTCAAATGGAATTTCTGTCTAGGTCCTTGAGGAATTGCCACACTGTCTTCCACAATGGTTAAACTAATTTACACTCCCACCAACAGTGTAAAAGTGTTTCTATTTCTTCACATCCTCTCTAGCATCTGTCGTCTCCAGATTTTTTAATGATAGCCATTCTAACTGGCATGAGATAGTATCTCAATGTGGTTTTGATTTGCATTTCTCTAATGACCAGTGATGATGAGCATTTTTTTCAGATGTTTGTTGGTCTTATATATATCTTCTTTTGAAAAGCATCTGTTCATATTCTTCACCCACTTTTGAATGGTTTTTTTTTTCTTGTAAATCTGTTTTAGTTCTTTGTAGATTCTGGATGTTAGCCCTTTATCAGATGGGTAGATTGCAAAATATTTTTCCCATTCTCTTGGTTGCTGGTTCACTCTAATGATTGTTTCTTTTGCTGTGCAGAAGCTCTGGAGTTTAATTAGATCCCATTTGTCAATTTTGGCTTTTGTTGCTAATGCTTTTGGTGTTTTAATCATAAGTCCTTGCCTATGCCTATGTCCTGAATTGTTTTGCCTAGATTTTCTTCTAGGGTTTTTATGGTGTTAGGTCTGATGTTTAAGTCTTTAATCCATCTGGAGTTAATTTTAGTGTAAAGTTTCAGGAAGAGGTCCAGTTTCTGCTTTCTGCACACTGCTAACCAGTTTTCCCAACACCATTTATTAAACAGGGAATCCTTTCTCAATTGCTTGTTTTTATGAGGTTTGTCAAAGATCAGATGGTTATAGATGTGTGGCGTTGTCTCCAAGGCCTCTGTTCTGCTCCATTGGTCTATGTCTCTGTTTTGCTAACAGTACCATGCTGTTTTGATTACTGTAGCCTTGTAGTATAGTTTGAAGTCAGGTAGTGTGACGCCTCCAGCTTTGTTCTTTTTGCTTAGAATTGACTTGGTCATGCAGGCTCTCGTTTGGTTCCATATGAAGTTTAAGGTAGTTTTTTTCCAGTACTGTGAAGAGGGTCATAGGTAGCTTGATGGGGATAGTGTTGAATCTATAAATTACTTTGGGCAGTATGGCCATTTTCACAATACTGTTTCTTCCTAACCAGGAGCATGGAATGTTTTTCCATCTGATTGTGTCCTCCCTTATTTCATTGAGCAGTGGTTTGTAGTTCTCCTTGAAGAGGTCCTTTACATCCTTTGTTAGTTGTATTCCTAGGTATTTTGTTCTCTTTGT